AAACATTTAACTGTACTTAACAACAGTGGAGGATTTGGATGATTTAGGAAGAGAATTATGTTATGGAGAAACTCATGATAAAATAGGAGTATATTGTATGATTGAGTTATCTTGCATCCTGTGTTCAGGAGGATTGATGGCTGCAACTTTTTTGGGTTTGTTTTAATGTTAACAATGAGCCATCTCTGCTCCATTCTTTCACACTTACACAAATAATATAACTTCTCAAATACTGGATCAGTGCTTAGTGAATTGGATTTAATGTAGTTCAATGGGTTCAGTTTCTCTTCATACCTGGAGGGTTCAAATTCATCCTTAACCATAGCAATTTATTTTGGAGTATGTCCAACTACTTAACCATAATCTATTTCAAAGGATCTCTGATTGGCTTCTGCTGCAGTGAATGTAAGGTCCATAATGAAAGCTTCAGCTACTCAAAGAGCTGAAACACAAAGAAGATTTTTTGTTTAGAGATTAGAGTATTTATGTAGGAGAACAGCTGTCCCCAGGACAGTTTACTAGTGTTATTGAATGGCTGCTTTACACAGAAAAAAGGCGCAATTTAGAGCCAGGATTAGGACCAAGGAGTTTCACTTCCCAGGGGTAAATGCATAGGACTGCAACTAGAATACTTACATTTACTACCAACACTATTACTACTATATTACTACTGCAATCACTACTAGTACTAATGCTTTTGTGTGGTTCCCCAACACACTAAAGCTATTGGTATCTCTTCAGTGACCTTAAAATGAAGATGAATTAATGTTTTTGTCCAGCTTGTACCTCTATATTCCCAGAAGAAAACTTGATACAAAACACTTTCAACTGGATTCAAAAGTTCATTGCCACATCACAATCTTCAAGCAAGATATGCTTCTTTTTCATGCTACTTGCCAGAATCTGGTTAAATATTTATCTGAAGTCTAGAGATTAAATGGGATATTATAGCAATACCTATATAATAGAATTTGAAATGGAACATACAATAATTTCTTTGTGTCTTTTTGTCTACACTTTATTCCTGGGAGGAAGCGATGCAAAAATTTTCCTCCTGAGAGATCGGTCCAAGGAAGCTGTCAAGGAAGATATTATTGTCTCAAAAATTCTCGTTTGACATTTTGGGTGCCCAAACAGCAGAAATTTCCTCACCTTTTACAGTTCTCAGCTGTTACAGCTATGATGAAGATATACGTAGAATCATAGAATGGTTTGGGTTGGAAGGGACCTTAAAGATCTTCTAGTTCCAACCCCCCTTCATGGGAAGGGACACCTTCTACTAGACCAAGCTGCTCAAAGTCACATCCAATCTGTCCTTGAAAACTTCCAGGGACAGGGCATCCACAACTTCCCTAGGCAACTTGTGCCAGTGTTTCACCACCCTCACACTAAATACATTCTCCTGGAACTAGACAGATTAGGAAAGTCATGGAATTCCTCCTTAAATCCTGCCCTATTGAAGAAAAAAAAGACAACAACAACAACAAAATAATCAGTACTGTGTGCCCAGTGCTTTATACAAGTAGTGTGAGCGAGATATTTGGCTTTCACTTGTAAAAAATTAATGTTCTCAACCTGTGGACCAAGAAAACTAGGTTAAAACAAGCTGCAGAGCTATGGTTTTCCTCTGAAAGGCATCTACCAGGCTAGTTCTCTGGTGATAATGTACCACAAAAAGGTAGCACAGTGGCAAACATCCAGTTTACAGTCTGAACCCTCTGATACATGGCTCTCATTTCTGCAGTGCCCTTGTGGGCCAGCAAAGCATGCAGAGTCAGAAACAGCTTTTGCAATTTTTATAGCATGCAGTTCTTGCATCTTTAACCCCTGTCTATGCTGCAGGGTGTGGCCTGGGGAGAGTGGAAGTCAAACCTACCTTGATAAAGACACCCCCTTCCAAGTCTTGTGTTTGGGAAGACTGGGTTGCAAGAATTCAAGATGGCTCCTGCCCAGCTACGCTAGGGTAGAAAAGTCTTGCTGTGCTGTCTGCACTGTCTTTTTCTCGAGGAGCTGATGAAAATTCTAAGGGCAGTCATGTTTTTTCCTTACTAAAATAATAATAAAAAAGTATACATTTAATAAATTATTTCTGATCATTCTAAACAACCCAACATTTGGATTAAACCCCTTTTTATTTAGACAATTTTCAAGCTCCTTGAAACATTCCATGATTTTACACTCTGCTTCAAAAGACTGTCTTTTATAAAGGTTCATATCCTGGGTTTTGTGTGTTCATCCTATATTGATGCTAATGAAGGCTGTAGGCAGGGATAACTATGTTTGAACCTTCTCTTTCTCTTGAGGAGGAAGCATGCTCAATTTTGCAGAGCTTAATAGTGCCTCTGCTGTGGCATTACAAACCTTGCTCTGTGCACCTCTAAATCATTCTTGGCACAGATGTCCTCTTGGAAGAAGCCAGTGAGATGGGCTTTTTTGACTGTCTGCAAAGCAATAGAAGTCTGCCACTATTTCAAGTTTGGACATGTTTAGGGTGCTTCTGTTTTCACAGAATGAACTGCTTATCTGCCGTTACATTTAAATTGAACAGGATGAAGTCCTTATTGGTGTATAGGTTTCCATGCCACAGAAACACATAAAAATAGAGCAAATGTTGATTTGAAGTATACTTTTATAATAGATCTTTATTTTAATATTTGGTTGTAAAAGAATGAAAAAAGATTGCAAGAGACTGGCCACCTATTGCTATGCAATACAATGTCATAGCTCTATGCCCAAGTATCTTGCCCGCCTGGCCTGTCTTTGCTGTTCTGTCTTGTACCTACTCCAGGACTTTGACTCCCAGCACAGTGAGGTCATGATGTAATGGCACAGATGATGTTTCAGGTTAACTCTCCTATGTTTTTGCCCTGTTGGGAACCTCATGCACAAGAGAAACAGGCTCCTATGATGGCAGAGTAATATGCAGAGCTCTTACACCTGTGGTAGTTAACTTGGTCTCATAACAGTGCTGGTAGCATTGTATATACTCTGCTCAGGCACATTTTGTCTGGAATGAAACCATGTAGCTGGAAAGCATGCTCTCTGGAGCATGGACTGTTTGTTTTGAATTTGCTTAGTGAAAACACAGTAAACTTAGGACTCTAAGGTGTTACAAACCATGATGAAGAATGAGAAAGCGAAACCAGTGGTGGAGAAGGACTGTTAACTGGGATACAGACAACTTTGTGACAACATGTGACACATTGGCTTTATGTCATTCGTAGCACAAATGGTACAGCATAACAGAGAACTCTCTAAAAGTGTTGACCTAGTAAAAATGATATGTAGGTATTCCACCATTATTATTATAATTTATTTTTTGTTATGCTTGTAATAATTCAAGTGCTTTCCAAACAAAAGAGCTACAGGCCCTGCCCCAAGGAGCTCACAATCTAAAAGTGAACAAGGAGAGAGACGTGAGGGAGAGGAGTCCACAGAAAAGTCAAGATGCCAAGATAGAAATCAACCATATCTTAGCAATCAAATGTGTTCAGAATGCATTGTTGCAAAGCTATACAAACTATTTTCCAATTACTGCTCATACTTTCCATTTTGGTTCAACTAATTCACTCTTAGGTGCCATGGCACAGAGAGATGTGCAAGAAGAAAGCTTTCAACATGTGAGCACAGAGAGAGTAGCAAATGTGTGAAGTAGAGCTGGAAATATCACCTAAAAGTATAGAGATGAGAAAATTTTGTCTTGATTTTCGAAACTCGGTTCATTATCAGAATAGCTTTCATCCAGAATGGCATGGATTTAGGTCAGGTTCTACAAGGTTGGAGTTCCATGTGATGCATTCCATCTGGAACATAAATGTACTCTGTGCATCTGGATGTTCCTTAATACGGACTAATATGAACAACAAAATCTATTATGGCAGGACTAGGGAAGTTAAGACTGAAATGACCATATTGATGTGGAATATTCACGTTTCCAAGAGAGAAGGATGGTGCTTACAGTTCAAGGGTGATCATTCCTAGGAGAGTTGTAAAAGTACATTTTAATAATGTAGGACACCAGTCACTGCTTAAAAAGATACAGACTGTTTAATTTTAAAAATACTGGTTTTGACTAAGACAATAAGTCACTCATCAGTTATGAAAAATACTATTAGGTTTTCTTTATACATTTAAATGTACAAAATCTCCAATTAGGTTCCCCCAAACTCTGAAACTGTCAAAGAAACTATTTTAAGGCTTACCTTAAAAACTTCTCAACAAATTGCCATATTTTTCCAAGTACTCAGGGACTCTTTTTTTCTTTTTTTCTTTTTTTTATTCCTGAAATATCTCTAAGCAAATACGAATGTATTGTGAAGGCAAAAGCTAATAAGCAGTTGAATATTAAAGTGCATAGGTTGTCCACATTCAGAAAAATAAATGTTTGAAGAGGCAGTAGATGTGATTACAGATTTCCAGGGTGTAAGCTGTCATCAGCTTTTAGAAAGCCACAGATAATTCTTTTACTATAAGAAATATGTTTTTACAGTCTTCAAATCCTGCAAATGCATTTCTAACAATGGTATCAGGATGGTGATAATCCTCTTGCTGGGAGGGAGAAGCTGTAATTAAATAATCAAATAGCCTGACCTTTAATAATTTACAGGTATTCATATTCCTTCAATAAATAAAATAATATACTTTATATTTTGATTATCTGAAGTTTTTGAAACAAATCAAGTTTTTAGTTATTTAAATAAATTATTCTAATAGCTTGACATGAATTATGCTGACAGGAGCTGCTTATGATTATTACGGTGCACAGAATCTTTTAAGACCCTACAAAGTTAAATGAAGGCTTACAAGTCTCTTAAGCTACTTTTTATTTGCATAGAAAAATATTTATCATAGGAGTCAACTATCATATGAGAGAAATTGCATTTTTTGTAATTGAAAAAGATAGCTAAAAAGTTTCTGTGGGTTATTGCAACAGTACAAGAATACAAGATGCTTCCATTTATTAAAAAATGTAAAACAAATTGTGAAAGCTAAAGCAGGCTACAAAACAGAAGGTCCCCATATTATCTTTCTCTTGACTACTATGTTACAAGATCATGTGCCACAGTTGAATACTAGAAAGTGTAATTCAGCCATTGCTAATATAATTCTTAAAACATTCTCCCCCCCCCCAAGCACTATGCAAAATATATATATTTGTAAATGGTTTCTCCTATAAGCATCACAACCTTGTTATCACATAATCACCCTGCTCAATTGTTTCCTGTTTCCCATCACAGTTAATGCTAATGTCAAACTCCTTGTCCAGCTGATCCTGGGGTGTGGCTGGTTCTGAGTTCTGTAACTCCACTTTCTCCGTCTCTGAAGCACAAATACTTGCCTCTTCCAGCGAATCTGAAGAGTCACCGTTACTTTCTGATTCAGCTAACGTGAACTTTTCATCAGGACTTTGAATGTTTAATTCACAGTTCATGGTCTGCTCTCCCTCTTGCAGTTCAGTAATTTTCTCACACTGTTCTTCTGCCTGTTGACGGGAAACTTCTTCAGAAACGGTGTATATTTTATTTGTACTCTGCTCCACAGAGTTTGTTTTTGATCGTCTGTGAAATAACCCAAAACTTTTTATGTCTGTTACAAAATTGACACGCTTTTGTTTCTCCTTAGTGGACTCTGACACCATCATTGCTGAGCCATTGCTTACATTGTGTGCTTCAGAGGCAATAGTGGCTGATTTTGGGTGAATCATTGTTGTTATGTCAAAAAGGCTGAAGGTCTTCTTCTTTGCTTTCATGTTTCCTTCACTCTCACTATTTTCTTCATTTTCTGACAGAGAGGCAGTGTCTTTGTTCATCTTTGGATTCTGCAGACTAGACAACTTGCTTCCTTTTAACAAACCCAAGACTTCAAAACGAAAGCTGGAAATATCTTGTTTTAACTCCTAAAAATTAGGAAGAAAGGTGAAACATCAAAGCATGAAAGCTAATTTGACTTTTCCTCTTGTAATTTAAAAAAAGGGGGGAAAAAGTTATTCTAGGGATCAGTAATAAACTTCACCATCTGGATAATACCTGGAATTTTCAAGGTGGTTTGCAGACTCTGTCTAATGCATCTTCTAGGTGAGACAGAAAAATGATCAGCAGTTTTATCAGAGGAAGCTTCAGAGAAAATGTGCCTTAGCCTAGATTACTCATGGAAATCACTGACAGTGGTGGAGGAAGGTGCATGGACAACTTGAAGATCTACAGCCATTTTGATCACCTGTTAACATCATCCCTACTGCACACAACCAGGGACACATGCATGCACAATAGGTGTGCATACTTCCCAGCCAGTTTTTTACCCAGTGAAGAATACAACTACCCAGGCCATGAACAGCCAGTTTTTCCATGAGAATGCTGAGGAGAATGGTGTCAAAGGCCTTACTAAAGTCCAGGTAGACCACATCCACAGCCTTTCCTTCATCCACTAAGCAGGTCACCTTGTCATAGAAGGAGATCAGATTAGTCAAGGAGGACCTGCTTTTCATAAACCCATGCTGATTGGACCTGATTACCTGCATGTGCCACGTGATATCACTCAAGATGACCTGAATGAAGCAACCATGATGCAACCAGCTCAGGCACTGGCCACATCTTCTGAGTGTGTAAGCTGTGACAGACAAATATAATTTTGAATGCCTGGAGTCTGAGGTGCCAATATTCACAAAAATGTTTGACACTAGAAACACACAGTAATGGATGTAAGCATTGTGTATGGCCCTGTTTCCTTCATCTGTGTCAAAGGATTATAATATTTTACTGCTTATTTATTTCTTCCACCTTTTAAGATGGAAAAGATGTTCTGTATACAAATAAATACACACCAGCTTTCTACAGCAGAAAAAAAATATCTGTTTTCTAAGATGCTGAAACTCTTCACATCTCACTTCAACAAATATGTTTTTACACACTCCTAGTCCCACTTTAGTGCCCCCTTACACAGGCACAATTCAAACTAGCTCATAAAACTGATTATTTTTCCATCTAAAGAAAGGAGACTAGCTGGAGTCCATATACCATACTATCTGTGGGCAGTTCATCAGGACACAGACACTGCTCTAGGAAGCAAGTTGTATGCCACCTGAACAACTTCAGTTTGGGAAAGAAGTCTGAGAAATATGCTTCACAGTCGTATTATAATATCTTACAAAAATACCTATAAACATATAAATTATTACATACCTTAAAATTTTCCTCTGTGAGTCCTTCCTCAGTCTTGGCATCTCTTATCATTGCTGCAACATATCTCTTAACTAGATTTCTCATAACTTCCTAAAAATAGAAAATATTGAGTCAGCTTTCTCGGTATTAGTTACTGGGCCTGCTTGAATTTCTTTGTGCTTTAGGAACATGACAAAAAATGCATAAACCTTAAATATGGTTGAAAATCCATTCTGCTTTTCAATAGAAAACAGTGATATTAGTTATCATGAGAATGGCTGTATTTGGCTTCACCAAAGCTATGTTTCATGACAGTGAGCAGTTGCTGATGCCTCCTGAGTGTAAGTCTAGCATAACTGTATGATATTATTTCCAGTTATATTCTCCCAAGCCTCCTGTGATGTGATATTCAGAGACTTTCTGAGTCAGAAATGACACCTCTAGGTTTAATGGGCTGTGACAGGTTTTCCTATGTGTTTTGAACTCATGTAAACTTCCAGCATCCACAAATCCTCTGCCAACAAGTTTCATTGTAGGGCTGAAATAAGATTCCGTTTGAGGGTTTGTTTACTTTTAACCTGATCTCTGATAGTTTGCATCGTTGCCTTCTACTTCTAAGAATCCTAAAATTATTCAGGTTGGAAGGGATGCGTGGATGCTGTCTCATCTAGCTCAGGGCCATGTCCAGTAAAATGATGAATATGTCCAAGAGTGGAGATGCTGCAGCTTTCCTGAGCAACTTTTCCAGTTCTTTACCACCTTCACTGTGATGATTTAATTTTTTTTACAGAATTTCCTTCCCTATGGCTTGCATCCATTGACTCCTGTTCTTCTGCTGTGCAACTCCAAGCAAATTCTGACTCCTTCTTCTCTCTAACTACCCACTAGGTTATTGAATACAGCAATTAGATCCCCCTTAACCTACTCCTGGCTGAAATACAAGCTTCTGTTTTTGTCAGCCCTCTGACCACCTTGGTGGCCCTTTGCTGGATTCCTTCCAGTATGCTAAAACATCTCTCTTGCAGTGAGGGGCCCAAAACAGGACACAGTGCTCCATATACAGGTCTTACAAGTGTAGGCTGAAGGAGAATAATCACTTCCCATAAAGTGCTGCCTCCAGCCTTAATAATGCAGTGTAGGATGTGTCTGGTATTCAGTTTGAGGATAGATGGTAAACAGCTGCTCTTTATTCACTTTCCCTATGATTTTATAATCCCTGTTGCACTTTCCACAGCTGTCTATTTTTCAGATTGGAAAAGTCATTGTTTACCTAGTAATTTCCCGCATGGAATCCATTAATTACCAAGCCTACAGGTGTACAGCCCACATCTTGGTTAACTTGCAGCCCTTTTAACACACAAAACAATTTGAAAATAAATCTGAATAGTATTCTTTTTGCTACAATAAACTCAAAAAATCCGAGGCTGAAGCAGGAGAATGGAGAAGAATAGCTTACACAATATTAAGGTAGATGGGTTATTAAGGGCGAAGAAATTGTTTATGGAGGACCAGAGGCAGAGAGATGGAGAGCAGGTTCTGATGGAGGATGTCAGTGAGCTGCATATATGATCCTGGTGAATCCCAGCAGGGAAGTGGGACTGTGTGTTTGCTTTTTTTAAAGGCAATTCATGTTACCAACCAATACTTGTTAGTATATTATCGCTCTAAGTAGGTAACCTTTTACCAACCAAGATTTGACAACCCTACTTCTCAAACATTGTTTGAACACCAAAAATAATATGCATGTTTGCTGAGGATGAAATGAGTATTCATTTTGTGGTTTTGTTGAGGGTTTTTGTGGTTGGTTTTTTTTGTCTGTTTTCTCAATAAATTCTGCCTTTTCTTCCCCTGACTTAAGGGAATATTCCTTTTTGAGGCATAGAAAAATAATTGCCCCCAAAATAAACGTGAGCCTGTACCTGGTATTGATGATGTCTTCTCAGATTGTCAGCTGCACGCCTCTGAAAAAGAGAAAATAACAACAAAAAAAGTGATGTCTGTCTGTTAGTAAAATACTTATAGCAGAGCAAAACAGCAGGTCTGTGCAGTATGTGGTATCTAGCAAGCTGAGAGAGATGGTTCAAAGTTGGTTGAAAAATGGCAGTGTTGGAGCAAAGCTTGTCATTAGCTTTACAGAAGGGAAAATGTCATTGGGAAGGTGAAGTGGGTTTTCTACATTATCATCAATGTGCCGCTATTCCAGCATTGGCAAGGATGTGGTGGGGCAGCCAGGTCTCTGCTTGCTGAGCTCCAAAGTCACTGATCTGAAGTGACTCATTTCCAAGGACTGAAGCATATTTCATTACATTGATAAAAGCTTGACATAAATGTGCTGTTTGCAAGACACTTGTTATGGCTCTTAATGTTTCATTTATGACACAGCTAACCAAAACCTGAAGTATAAAATTAAATTACATTGCCTGTTTAGTTGCCTGTTAAAAACACTTGGACACAGAGAAGGTTATGGAAGAAAGAAGCAGAGTTTGGTGTTGACAAGGGGGGAGGGTAAGAGGGATAGTTACTCTGAAGAGGAACAGCAAAAAGAAGTGTAGTAGGGGGAAAACACAGTACAGGCTTCAAGAAAGTGTTGCATTATATTATACTACTATATCTAAGGACTGTCCAGAAGAAGACTAGGAAAAAAATGCCCCAAATTACTTAGTCCTTGAATTACTGTTGTCCTCAATAGCATACTGAGTCACATCTCCCTATTCTCTACCTTAATTATCCTTGACTGGTCAAAGACTTAACTGGGGTTCTTACATCTGTTTCTGACCACTAATGTTATTTTACAAAACAGAACACATCCAAGGGACTTGTTAAAATTGACCCCAGTTGAATAATGAGGCAGGCACAGTAAGGTATTTTTAAATTTTATTTTACTTGAAACTGATTGGCAATTTATGATTTACCTTTTCACTGCACTCTGCATCAGTTTACACTTTGGAATGGATTTCTTGTTTGTAATTAATTTGAGGGATGCAGTAGCTGCATGGTTGGGCTTGGTAAAGAATAATAGAAAGGGGAAATTGAAGATGTCCTAATCACTCTGAACAGAAACTGTGGAGTAGGGCTTTGTACATAAGCATCTTTTCTTCGGTATTTTTCCAGATCATGTTTCTGTATCTATGCATCATCCAAGCAGAGGATAGAAATTCCTTGTGTTTGAGGGTGAAGGGACAGGAAATCCTGCCCACCGCCCAGGCTGAAGGGGACAAGGCAGCCCTGGAAAGGCCGATACCCTCCCAGTATCCGTTTTCAGCCGGTTTCAGAAAAAGATTAATCTGATTTTTCACAGTTGACCACACGATGGGGATGTCTCTTTGCTGCTTAGAGAACACTAAGGGAGTCGGTGATTAACAGAGCTCTGAACAATAAATCTGACTCACAGGTAAAGGGAAAAACACTTTAAGGTGTAATTGAAAGGCACTTCAGTTCAGGTAAAGCTAAAAATCCATATAAGTAAAACAAATGCTTACTCTTGTCTCACAGACTGCTTTCTGCAGTAGCTTTCTGCTCTGCTTTATTTTACAGAAAAATGCAAGAAAAAAAACCAAAACAAAACCCATAGGTTTAATTCCATAAGAAACAGTTAAATCAAGTTTATCTTTTTTTTTTTTTTTTTTTTTTTTTTTTTTTTTTTTCAACTCATTTGGCAACTCTCTGAAACAGGGATTGTGGTTTTTCCACCCAACACAATGTCAAAAAGTGCAATTTGGGATGACTATCTAAGCACATTTATTTGTGTAGCAACATGTCCAGAACAGTTCTGCCACACTTAACAACTGCTTTCAATCCATGTTATTGAGAAGCTGAAATAGAATGCATTTAATAGTGTGTTTTCATGCAGAGACACATAGATTCTACTCAAGGATATATGCATACACATAACCTATCAAAATTTTAACTCCCACTAGCTCTCTAGCTCCTATGTAAATGTTCAGATTCAGTTCCGGTTCATCATGGCCTTTTGATTCCTTCTGAAAGTAGAATGAGTCTTTGCTTAAACACAACTGAAAATCAAGTAATTTGTATTGGAAGTAAAATCTCTTTAGCAATGACAAATTTGATAATGTTAAATTACTTCTTTTGAAGTGCTTTATTAAACTTCTATCTTTTATAAAGCAGGAATTCTAGTGTAATGTCTGTATTTGAACTTAGACTGCTTAGTGATAAAGGTCCAGAAAATGTAACGATTGTCTGAAGTAATGGGATATATTCCTCATCTAGAATAGAAATGTCCCATAAAAAGGGAAGAACCTATCTGTGTTGACAAATAACTTTCCTCATTAGATGGTCCTTAGCTATGCAATAAACTCCAGATTACTCATTTCCATTCTAGGTGGAAAGTGTTACTTCTTTGCTCAACTTTCAATAACATACATTTTAGAGAAAATGCAAAATACTTAAAATGACTTAGGAATTGCATAATTTTCCACTTAGAGAACAAATAATAGGAGAAAGGAAAAGGAGATTTTCTCTGAAAAATGCTAAGAATTATCATGTAGGTTGCTTGGAAGAATGGCATAAACATCTGGGTAGCTTGAAAAGAGGTAACTCTGTCTAAAAATCAGATGCACCAGAGAAAAACACTGAAGATGTTGCTGACAATCCTTTCAGTTATCTTCTGAAACACTTAAAATTATAGGAAAACACTTTTTGGTGACTGATCAGACATAAAGTGGAATGTAATTCGAGGAAAACAGTACCATTTATTCTAGTGGGTTTGGGGTTTCTTTTCTTACATCTAGTTTTGATATGGCAATCAATTTCAGATGGCCAAAAGAAGTATCCTTGAGACACCCAAAAGCCATGGGCAGTCAAGAAAACTTCAGTCTAATCAACAGCATTACAGTACTAATCTGGCTTTTTTAAAGGTGAGCTGACAAAGTTAACAGAACTGATACACATACATATACATATATATATGTATGTATATATATTAAAGAGCAGGACACTGTTATTTCAGAGTTTTAAGTGTAGTAGATATTTTGTGACAATAGCTAAAGGGAATGCTGCATACCTGGAATATGTCAAAATGACAGAAAATAAAAATGTGCTGAAATCTGAAAGATAGATCTCTGGCTGATTAATGACAGAGCTGAAGTACTAGTAAATCACATGTAAGCATCCAGGTCTTCCTTCAGCAGTCATCAGCAAGGCTGGTCACCATGTTGCTTTGGAGAAAAATCCTGTGCTTTGAAAAAGCTCCCCTTGATTCTACCACCCAGTGTTTCAGATGTCTAAGTACAACAAAGGATGGCAGAACCACAGAGTTGACATCGAAGGAGAAGCAAATTAATCTGCTCTCCTCAGTAGCACCTCACTTCCCTATGGACTCTGTTTTTCCCATGATGGCTTTATACAACACTGTAGATGGTCCTACCAATCAACCATGCCATATTTATGTCTACAAACATTTTTCTTCTTCATATGAGCCAGATAAATCCTTTCACTAACATGTCTGCTGTAAACTATCCTGACTCTGAATCCTTTCTTTATGAGTTCTAACTGCATATAATGAACTTTCAATTGTACATATATATATTTTTTTACAGCTCACAATTCCTGTTTTTTTGGTACTAAGGTTTCTTATGCAGATCATGCTTGATCCTTGAAAGATGTTGTCTTTAACAAGCCAGCTGCATTCTTTCTATTGTCTCTTTTGTATCCTCTAGCACTGACTCAGCCTTTGGAAGAACAGTATTGCTTTTTCTACTGGAAAACACCATAGTACGTCACTGTTGATTGGAGTTCCTATCAGGAAAATTAGCATTTAGAGGTTTCAGAACAAAATGTTTTGAAATACGAGTTCCGCCTTATGGACAGCATAGCATTGATTCATCCATATGGTCACTGTTAGAAAATGAGCCTGGAACTCAGTCTTCTGTTGTTTTTTTCCCCCCCCCATACTGGTGATAGGGAAGGAATCAGGGGAAACATAACCCCCATTTTCAAAAAGGGAAGAAAACAAGGCCCAGGGAACTACAGGCCAGTCAGTCTCACCTCTATGCTTGGCAAGATCATGGACCAGATCCTCCCGAAGGTTCTACCAAGGCACATGGAAAACGTGGAGGTTGTTGGTGGCAACCAACATGGCTTCACCAAAGGCAAATCCTGCCTGACAAATTTGGTGGCCTTTGATGATGAGCTCACAGCATTGGTGGACAAGGGAAGAGCAACTGATGTCATCTACTTGGACTTGTGCAAAGCATTCAACACTGTCCTGCATTACATCCTGGTCTCAGAACTGGAAGGATATGGATTTGATGGATGGATGACTCAGTGAATAAGGAATTGGCTGGGTGGTCGCACCCAGGGAGTTGTGGTCAGTGGTTCAGTGTCCAAGTGGAGACAAGTGGTGTTCCTCAGGGGTCAGTGTTTGGCCCGGTGCTGTTTAACATCTTTGTCAGAGGCATGGACAGTGGGATGAAGCATATCCTCAGCAAGTCTGCTGATGATACCAAGCTGTGTGTTGTGATTGACATGCTAGAGTGAAGGGACACCACACAGAGGGACCTTGACAGGGCCAATGCCAACCTCATGAAGTTCAACAAGGCCAAGTACAAGGTCCTGCACCTGGGCTGGGGCAATCCCAAGCACAAATCCAGGTTGGGTGGAGAATGGATTGAGAACAGTCTTAAGGAGAAGGGCCTAGGGGTGCTGGTCAATGAAAAACTCAACATGAGCTGGCAATGTGCACTTGCAGACCAGAGGGCCAGCCACATCCTGGGCTCCATCAAAAGAAGAGTGGTCAGCAGGTCAAGGGAGGTGATTATTCTGCCCCTCTACTCTGTACTCATGAGACTCCACCTGGAATACCATGTTCACTTCTGGAGCTCTCAATAGAGGAAGGATATAGAGCTCTTGGAGCATATCCAGAGGAGGGCCACAAAGATGACCAGAGGCTGAACTAGTTGGGGCTGTTCAGCCTGGGGAAGAGAAGGCTCTGAGGAGATCTCATAGTAGCATTCCAACACCTGAAGGAGGCCTACAGGAAAGCTGGGGAGGTACTTTTTACGAGAGTGTGTAGTCATAGGACTAGGGCTAGTGGTTTTAAGCTGAAGGAGGGTAGATTTAGATTAGATGTTAGGAAGAAATTCTTTAGTGTGGGGGTGGTGAGACACTGGAACAGTTTGCTGAGAGGAGCTGTGGGTGCACCCTCCCTGGAAGTGTTCAAGGCCAAGTTGGATGGGGCTTTGAGCAACCTGGTCTAGTGGAAGGTGTCCCTGCCCATGCAGAAGTTTTTCAAAACCAGAGGGCAATGTTTCACTGTTTCTTTCTTGCAGTCTATCACTGCTGTGTTTCAATGTCATCCTCATGCTTATAAGCTTCCTTTTCTGGATGTTTCTTTCCTATCTACAAGTATGACAGCTAAGTGAAGCATATTTTCCTTTCATAGTGTAGATCCTGGGCAACAAGATGAGGATATTGCAGGAAGCCTGATTAGAGGCTTTCCACAAAGAGGACAGAATCAGCTTAGGACATGTGAATTATTTTAAAATGTCACTTTTCCTCTTTATCAAGTATCTATACATCCCTGTGAACTTGTTCCTGCAAGTATATCTGGCAATAAAACTGAATGCCAGTATATGATGGGAGGTTATGTAGGAAAAGCCTATCCTTACCCTTACTTCACAAGATACTGGGAAGAAATGCAAAGATTATACAAAGAAATACAGAGGTGATAAAATAATGGTCCAGCAAATAATTGTATCATACCCCCAGCTTCTTTGAAATGAATGGACATTTTGCTATCAGTGTCAACAGCAGGACTGTAACCTTCTTCTTGCCCTTACCCACACATGACACTCTCATAATCTCTCTTAGTGCTTTGCTATCTGAGTTCCTTACAAACTTGAAGACATTTATATCCATCAAATCCCTATGGTATAGAAAAGGTGCCATTATCCACATCGTACCTACACACTTTTATTTATGTTGGAGTTGGCTAAATGCAGCCTAATTACTGAGGTACTGACTTGCTTGCTATGGGAAATACAGAGAGAGAGATTTAATTGCTGGTGGGTTAGGTTGTTGCCTGGATATTTGCTCTGACAATATAGAGAAGCTGCACTGCTGACCCAGGTATCTTAACTGGATAAGGCTATGAGGGTCAAATCCAAATCTACATTGCACAGTGCAGCTATCAGAGAAAGTCTGTGGCTGAGTTATTTGAGAACTCTACCTGTAAACTCAACTAATCAATTCTGAAACAATGCTGTTACCTTTAAAATGTTTTCTTTAATGGGCACAGCTTTTGGCATGAATGCGTTTAAGGTAAACACATTTTGTTACATAGAGGGAGAGAGACAGAGAAAAGGAGAATATCCCATTATGAATATTTTATACACTAATGTGTGTTACATGATATGTCAATGATACTTGAACTGTGACACTTGAGCTACAGATCATTAACCAGATCCCTGGGATTGGTAGACAAGTCTACACATTTCATCTCTCATATTTATATTGCTTTCAATCTTCATTGCATTATCTATAAATGAGACAAGTCATGATTCATATCGTCATTGCACAGGACTGCTATGATGGTTTCTCTTCAGTCAAATGCATTTACATGAATGTAAAAAATAAACATTGTCTGCTAGAACTATTCTCTTACTCAAATGCACATTATTTGACAATTTGGATTCTCTGTAAGGCTGAGAAATACTCATCTATATAGCAAAGAGGAGGACCACAGATAGAAAAAAACAGAGGGCTTACCCCTATTGTTCCAAAACTTTCAGGCTTTCTTCTAATTTTTTTCTTACAGATGTGTCTCCATAACCATTTGATCAGATACCACAGAGACTTTGGGCTTGGTATGACATTGAAAGGAGTGGGCAGAGTTCCTCCTTCTTCAAAGTAACTCATCCAGAGCTTTGTTCGAGCAAACTTCCACTCAATGTCTGCGTGATCCTGCAAGTGAGAACACATCATCAAATGTTGATGTAATAAGGAGGTGAAACAAACCTCTACAGGAATCTGAAAAACTAAAACTAAAACAACCCTGGAATACTAATGAATTTTCTGGTTAAAATACTATAATATTCTTTTGACAGAAGGTCTTAAAGCAAAGCTAAGGTACTTTAGCTCTGTAAAGAGATGTTAGATATGTACCTTATATATCCACTTTCAAGCTTTCTTTCCTTGCTACAGGCTTTTAAATAATTAAACTCTCTCCAACAACAAAGTGTAATTACAAACATAAAAATACTAGATTTCTGGAAGAGATATTTTGTTATAATAGAATCTCATAATTATTCCTCATAGATCACTGTAATTGCTCTGCTGTGTGGCAGCTTCAACAGGTCAGGAAGTCTCATGCACTCTGGTAGTGATTACCAGCCCAAGAAATTCACAAACAGTTATCCAATAAATCTTGAAGTTACTGAAAATGTTTGAGTTGACTATGTTTTTTTCCTTCTACTTCAGAATTATATATTTGGAATAGCTTGTGGCTTATGTTTTGGTTTTGTTTTGTTTTGGTTTAGGTTTTTTGTGTGTGTTTATTGTTTTTTTTCTTATTGTTAATTTTTTTTTTTTATATGTAATATTGCATAATTTTACATTTGGACAACAAATACAATAGCCAAGAACTTAAACAACAGGTCTAGCCCCAGCCTGTTATATTTAGATAGATATTTTAATGTAATTATTTAGCCAGATATTAGCCAGTAATCTAGAAGTTGTAGTAGGAAAAGTATTCTGCCTGCAGTTTGAGTCTTGATCAATGCTAGTATGTGGTGATATTGTGTACTGGACTTTGCCAACCAGCATTATATAAACACCTGTTGTCAGTATTTCTTTTCTGGAAAAAACTCGTGATTTCCAGATTAGAAAAACACACATTCAAAAATGTTGACGGTGAAGATTTGTTTTATCTGTTTTCGTTCTGAATTATATTTGAATTATCATATGAAACAGTGTTTATTTTCATTAGTCTCCTTAACAGACAGCTGAGAAATAAAGGCAAGCCAACAGCTCTGAAAAGAATAGACAGTTTTAATGAAAGGAGAAAACAAAATTCTGCTAAATGAGAAGTCATGACCTTTTGTTTGAATTGCTAATGGGTGCAAAATTGTCCATGAAACACAGGCATCCAATTTCTCTTAACTGTATATTCACACTAGATAAAAATCCCAAATGACAGCCTTTTAAAGATTATTAAATACAATCAATAAAAATAATGTCAGAACCATCTTTGGCAGAATCTCTTTCTCAGAAGTCTTGCATAGTGCAGCCCAGGAAGGAATGTATCCCATGTTACTTGCCAGCAACTTCAGAACACCCTCCTCAACCCACGAGCTGACTTCTGTAGCAGGGCTACCTCTTCTCCATTCAGAGCTGGGAAATTCCCCTCTGCCCAACCCAGCTGGGGTCTAGTTTCTATGTCCTTCCAGAACAATGCAAAATAATTAGGACAAATTAAGGCATTTGTCCCAACATCCTGTCTGTAAAAAAAGATTTACTGCCAGAAAAACGAATGTAGGAACAGAGAGAAGGTGTATGTTATAAATGATCTAAGGAACCACTTACAGCAATAAGTTGATAAGAATTATTCATCATGGCTATTAGCATGTTGAGTAGAACAACCAGAGAGATTACATTATAAGTACCAAACATGGTGGCCCCAACAAATTCAGTAAATTCATGCCTTGCTTTCACGTTGGTCACATAGAGATTGATCAGTCCAAATATAGACCAGAATAATGACTGCAGTGTTTCAAATAGTCTGAAAAACAAAATCAAAAGGAACAGCTGTATAATAACAATACATGTACTTTTCAGTTTGCTCATTTTCTCCCCTAACACACAAAAGTCCTTGACTTGGTTGAGATGAGTGATACTTATCACGATATAGGCAATATAAATGGAATATCTTTCTACGGAAAAAAATGGCTTAATCAGCATCTAGATATACAATAATGAATATTTAAAAAAATCTGTAAGTAAAATGCTGACTTTGTACAAAGTTCCAAGGAATAAATATAGTTTTAGAAATCATATTTGGACACCTGCCTTTGAAGTATTTTGACCCTTTGCTTTGATTGTAGAGGGTGCAACAAGGATCCAAAAGTAATTAAATGGTTGTGTTTCACCAACATGTTGAAACAATCATGGTATGTTCATACCTACTTGGTGTTTTCAGTTTATGTAATCTCTAGTTTGTGTTGAGAGCCACTGAGATGAAAGGAGTTGTATAATTATAAAGACTTTATTATCACTAGCATATGTTTTGCTTTGCAAAGAACTGAGACATTAGAAAGACAAAAATTCTGCTCCCAAATGAAACATGCTTTTGTTACTAAATGATATGATATTCCCTTAGAGAAGCCTGTGACAACAGTGAAGAAGCTAAATAACAATAACCAACTTTTAAAAAATCCTCTGCTACTAGAGAGCTTGATGTAATTTCATTTGTGTACAATGGTCAGCTACATTACAGTGTCATAAACATGGGCCCTGGTTAGCCCAATTGCTCATGAAAAGTTTGGAGCACAATTTTCTGCTTGTCTGGTCCCATATCTTGAGATTAATTGCAGTGAGTTTTTCCCATGGCCTCTTTCCTGCTCCTTCACCCCGACACCAGAAGCAGGTTACAGGGACAGGATGTGTCCTGTCCCCAGCCACCCAGAGCCAGGAGGCTGCTGAACTGCAGGGACTTGTACCACCCTGGGCTGTCCTGCACGATGGGACCCAGTGTCCAGAACTGGGCAGAACTTAACCCTTCCACTGCCTTCCCACTATGTGGTATCATCTGTGAAATATAACTAGTCATGAAACCCAGTACAGTGCTGTCCTACAGAGACACCTGAGAGGGCATTGTGCTTTCATTTCTAGAATCTTTAGGTCCTGTGTCTCTGCTACTATAGCACAGCATATAGGAGTGGAAAGTGCTGCTCTGAAGTGTCTTCTATGATTTTACACATGTCCGAGCACAAATGGAGCAACTGTTCTTCTCCCCTGGTAGCAGAAAAGGTTCATAAGGCAAAGCGATTTGCCTTGACGCCAACCTCTTAACGCTAGTGTCAGACATCCTCACTATTTCCCAGATGAATAATATTGCTTTCCTTGATGTTCAGCTCTAAAAAATTTGCTTGTGCATTTCTGTTCAGATCACAAAAAGTTTAGACCTGCACAATATAGAAGATAAATATGCTGTGCCTGAGCAAAGTTACTTCATTAAGATGATATAAATGTGTTATTTTTATAAAATTATTTACTTTGAGAAAGAAACCATTGGTAATCAATATATTTTAAAAACAGCCTAGATGTGATTCATAGAAGGTAAAAGGGAACAGGTATTTATGTAGGATTTTGATTCAGGGAGTTGAAAGATGAGAAAATTAGTATTAATTTGGGTGTGTTTTCATATCATAGATGAACTACAAAACAGAGTGAAATAAAATTGTCTTTTCAATTGAATAAAAAGAAACATTAAAACAGAAATTATAATGCAGTATTTGACTTTGTGGAGTAGACTCAGGGTCAGTAGAATCCTAGACTGACTGTTTTCTTTCCCGCCTCATTTACAAGGAATCTTCATGTTTTAGAACATGAAACATATTTAAGACCCAGAAGTAGACAAGGAAGAAATTCAGAACGAAGGCTGCCTGGATGAGCAAGCTCTGATCTGGTAGCTTTTTTTCCCTTAATTCTAAATATGTACTTTCTAATCTCATATTATCTGTCCCTCCTTTTTATTTTATCTTTTTATCTTTTGAGATATTTTGACTTGTACAGACTCGATTGTGGTATCGGATTAACATTATTGAAGAGCGATGCAATGTTAATATTTTAATTTTTTTTTTAGTAGGGCAGCTTCGTGTTGTCTGTGTGTCTGTCAGGACACCACTGTCATATCAATAGAAAACAGCTTCTCTTCTATAAGCAACATCTAAGTGATTTAAATCATGGGGGCAGAGGGAAAGGGTAGAAATAGATCAGCCACTTACGTTGAAAATGCATTATTCTGTTTTTCACATCGTATTCCTTTGCAGTTGCCGGGTTCATTCGTCTCATAGTAGAAGTACAGCTGGTTCAATCCATTTGCAAAAGCCAGCAACACAAGGCAGTATATGAAGAGAAACTTCAAAATGTCCAGCAACATTCTTCCTAGAGATATCTGCAGAGGTCCCAGGTGAGAATTTGCAGTGAATAATGAGATCAAGCGTAGGGAGCTGAAGATGTTTGCAATTGCAAACAGGGCCTCAGCCACCAGGGTTGGATGCCACATGTCCCAGCTCTCCCGTGGAACTAACCCGCTGTACTGAAAACAAGCAGAAAGGAAGAAATTACTCCTAGTTTACTTCATCAAGTATCTCAGTTTCTTTCTAAGCTGCTAGATTCAATTGCAGATAGCACAATAAAACCAAACACCTTCTGGAAAGCAACATGTCTTTGGGAGAGTTTTTTATTATAGCAAAACAAAATGTACTCATGTACTTGTCCTTCATTTTTATCTGCAGGATGGTCTGTGCTTTCTAGGAGTTTTTTTGCCTGTGTTTTGAATTTGGTTATAAACCTCACAGTAACAAAACCAAGTCTACTGACTCTGAGAGTAAAAGAAACAGATTTTTAACACCTTGGCTTTCAAATTATAGAAACTTTTAGCTGTAAAATCAGACAAAGTAGCTCTTTGGAGAACAGTGCAGATATGATGATAGAAACTTGCAAGAACTTTGTCAAGCTGGAAGAAAACATTTAATCAAGGCATACGTATATCACTTAATCACTAACATTGAACCAATGATGAAAAGCTCTTTACTAATGAACCATGGCAAACTGCTTGTGTGTCTCGTTATCAAAAAGTCTGGTCCCTAGAACCGCAGCTCTTTACTGTTCCACCTCTACCAAAAAATTTTTGAAAACTAAGATGTTACTTTGAACTGAAGCTTAACTACTGTAGTAGACTCATTTTTATTTATTTGGTCTCATTAATTTGTTTTACAGAACATATCAGAGGACAGAATCTATGTTATGAAGCACTCTGACCATGGGATAACACAATACAAAGCAGATTTCAAAATGGACTGTGGTGAAGTCTGTATTTACCTACTCTAGGCCACCCAGATGCACCCTTCAGAACTGCTGAGTGTGCCCTCAATAGTAAGGAAAGGGACTCTTCCATGTCACTGGGGCCAGATGTAACAAGATAGCCAGACATCACAACATTTCTGCATGATTTTCGTCCTCCAGAGAAGGTGACTACTCTCAAGGTCACCTGAACATATGTAAGTCTATGGGACCTGACAAGATGCATCCCAGTGTCCTGAAGGAACTGGCTGATGTAGTTGCCAAGCCACTGTCCATGATATTTGAAAAGCTATGGAAGTTAAGTGAAGTCCCTGGTGACTGGGAAAGGGAAATATTGTGCCCATTTTTAAAAAGCGTAGAAAGGAGGACTCTGGGAACCACAGACCTGACAGCCTCACCTCTGTGCCTGGGAATATCATGGAATAGATCCTTCTAGAAGACATGCTAAGGCACATGGAGGACAAGGAGGTGATTAGAGACAGCCAGCATGGCTTAACCAAGGGCAAGTCTTCCCTGATCAGCCTGGTGCCCTTCTATGATTGAATGGCTGTATCAGTGGTCAAGGAAAGAGCTACTGATATAATCTATCTGGACTTCTGAAAGGCCTTTGACACTGTCCCCAAAACATCCTTCTTTCTAATTAGAGGGGTACAGACAGATTTGTTGGATGGATTATTCCACAGATAAGGAATTGGCTGGATGGTTGCATCTAGAGAAGTGGTCAATGGCTTGACATCTGTGTGGAGATCAGAGATGAGTGGTGCCACAGAATCACAGAATCTTAAGGGTTGGAAGGAACCTCAAAAGATCACCTAGTCCAACCCCCCTGTCAGAGAAGGGTCACCTAGACCACATCACACAGGAACGTGTCCAGGCAGGTTTGGAATGTCTCCAGTGAAGGAGACTCCACAGCCTCTCTGGGCAGCCTGTTCCAGGGTTCTGTCACTCTCACAGGAAAGAAGTTTTTTTCTGATATTCACATGGAACTTCCTATTCTCCAGTTTGCATCCACTGCCCCTTCTCCTATCACTGGTCATCACTGAAAAAAGCTTGGCTCCGTCCACCAGACACTCACCCTTAACACATTGGTAAACACTGATGAGGTTGCCCCCCAGTCTCCTCTTCTCCAAGCTAAAGAGACCCAGCTCCCTCAGCTTTTCTTCATAAGGGAGATGTTCCACTCCCTTCATCTTTGTAGCTCTGCACTGGACTCTTTCAAGCAGTTCCCTGTCCTTCTTGAACTGAGGGGCCTAGAACTGGGCGCAATATTCCAGATGCGGCCTCACCAATGCAGAATAGAGGGGGAGGAGAACCTCTCTTGACCTACTAACCACACCCTTTCTAATGCACCCCAGGATGCCACTGGCATTCTTGACTACAAGGGCACATTGCTGGTTCATGGTCATCCTCCTCTCCACCAGGACCCCCAGGTCCCTTTCACCTACAGTGCTCTCCAGCAGGTCAGTCCCCAACCTGTACTGGTACATGGGGTTGTTCTTCCCCAGATGCAAGACTCTACACTTACCCTTGTTGAATTTCATCAAGTTTCTCCCCACCCAATTGTCCAGCCTGTCCAGGTCTCGCTGAATGGCAGCACAGCCTTCTGGTGTGTCAGCCACTCCTCCCAGTTTAGTGTCATCAGCAAACTTGCTGAGGGCACACTCTGTTCCCTCATCCAGGTTGTTGATGAAAATATTGAATAATACCAGTCCCAGTACTGACCTCTGAGGGACTCCACTAGTCACAGACCTCCAGCTAGATTCTGTGTGTCCCTCAGGAGTCAGTACTGGGGACCAATGCTGCTTAATATATGCATCAGGGACATGAACAGTGGGATCAAGAGCAATCTCAGTAAGTTTGTAGACAACACTAAGCTGACTGGTGTGGCTGATATGCTTGAGGGACAGAATGCCATCCAGAAGGACCTAAACAAGCTCAAGAAGTAGGCCCATGTGAGCCTGCTGAGGTCCAAAAATGGCAAATGCAGGTTGAGGGAAGTAATTCTGCCAACCTACTCCGCTCTAGGGAGACCTGTGTTCAGCTCTTGAGTCCTCAAGACAGGAAATACACGGACTTATGGTGCATGTCCAAAGGAGGGCCACAAAGATGATCATAGGACTGGGCTTCTTTTCTATGAGGAAAGGTTGAGAGAGTTAAGAGGAGAGTAAGCTCCAGGGAGACTTTATAGCAGCCTTCCAGTACTTAAAAGGGGCTTATAAGAAAGATGGAGACAAACTTTTTAGCAGTGCCTGTTGTGATAAGACAAGGGATAAGGGTTTTAAAATGAAAGAAAGTAGATTCGGACTAGATAAAAGGAATGAATTTCTTTACATTGAGGGTGTTAAAACACTGGAATGGGTTGCCAAGAGAGGTGATGGTTCCCCATCCCTGTAAACATTCAAGGTCAGGTTAGACAGGGCTCTGAGCAACCTGATCTAGTTGAAGATGTCTGCTCACTGCAGAGGGCATTGGATGACCTTTAAAGGTACCTTCCAACGCAAATAATTCCATGATTCTGTGATTCCATTATTCAAATTGTGGATGGGAAGTGGGCATTGATTTAGACAGAGCGAGTTAGCTCAGGACTGGGCTTTGTCTAACCAACAGGTGGCACAGGTGAGATGATTCCAGTGCCTGACAGCAGTCCCTGGAACAGTTTTATTTATTTATATACAAGCAGGCATAGCATCTGTGCTATGGTTATGTGGGTTTTGGGGATGAGAATTGCATAAGTGGAGCACAGAAGCCCATTGAAGGGTACTACTCAGCCTTACATTTCAACCACCAGTGATAGTTGTTTATAGAGCAGGAAATCCAGACCTGCTGGAATCATAGGTCAGTACTGTCTGCATAAGACTTTGCTTTCCCCCAGTGATCATGCTGTAAAAACAAGTCCACTGCATTTGACATAGTAGCTCCAAGAGAGATGCTGTTCTGCCTCATTCACTGTTACCCCTCTGTCCAATTCTGATTGCTTCAAGACTGGTGATGAACAAACAGGCAGCAGAAAACAGAACTGAGTCATCAGAGACACCAGCTAAGATGTAAAAATGAGAAGAAAACAAAGAAGAAAAAAAATGCAGCATTTATTGAAAAAAGAGAGTTCAGAACTCCTCTGCATGATTTCTATAATGTCTTTCTTTGAGTAATATTATACAGTATGTTACTATGAATTCTGATTACACTTTACATCCCTGATATGTGCAAACTTGCACCTGATAAATGACTAGGAACAATTGTTGGTACAAGCAAAAATGAGGTGCTGAACAGTGCAGTAGATACTCAGATTAGCAAAGAGTACACAAGGTGTGTTGGGGGGAATAAAGTAAAATATATTAATGAAAAAATATTTTAAACTAGGCAGATATTAAGTTTTGGTAAAGAATAAAAAGCATCCAACTGCAGACATTTTAGACAAAGGCAAGTAGTAGCAGGTTCCAAGGAAGTTAAATGAATAGGGGAAAAAAAAAAAAAAAAAGGTGAGAAGAAAGGGCTTTATCTATGATCTGCATTGAGATGCAGAACTGGTATGTTGAAACAGTCAGTTTCAACACATGCCAGTTTAACAAATTAACACATCCCTGGGTTTTATTGACTTGTTATCCAAATAAGAAAAGATCAAATGACTTCCTATTTGTAAAAGGGAAATCAATGGCACAACCCTGTTATTTCATCTTAACTGATTCGGCTTTTCTTGGGCCCAAATCCTTCCTGTATGTGTGGATACAATGCAAAGATCTCATGGTTGTAAGCAGAGTGAGGGCTCTTACTTTAGTTTTGAAGAGACATGATTTAAGAGACTGGAAATAATTGACTGAAATATAGTAATAAATGTGAAGACCTGAGAAGTTCAGAAATTATCTGTGAAATACACTAGATGAGAGAAGACAGCAAATAATACAAAGAAAATAATGAGTTTAAGAAAGAGGACTCTGACAACAAAACTCTATTGATTCCACTAACTATATGATGCTGAAATCTAGAAATATCAAAGAAGAACCAGGATTAAAAAAAGCACACATGCGAAAAGAAAAAGAAAGCAGAGACAAAAGACTAGTTGTATTGAACCCAGAAACACTGAACATACAAAAAACACCAAACCAAACTAAACCAAAAAATCCCAACACCAAACAACAAAACAACCCAAGACATTAAGAACTGAGGTATTTGTTCTCTCACTCATAATTTTCTTCTGTTCATGTAAATGGTTATTTTTCTAGGGAATGGAAAATGGTAAGGGCAAATATAGCAATGGTGAGCTAATTGTAAATAATGATGTTGATACTTTCCAGTCTTTTATTATTTTGCAACCCTGCTGAATTTCTGTTTCTCCTTCAAATGCAAACACAACCTTTTGACATGTAATAAATCCAACTGTCATTTAACATGATTAAATAATACCCATCATTGGCTCACTGGTTGAGCAAAATGTACCTGGCTCATCAATGGAATATTAAGAGGAACAGAAAACAAATTGAGTAGTATATAAACAGTAGAGTTTCAAGGCAACTATATGATGATAGTGCAATGTCACCCAGGGAATATCAGATAATAATTCTTGATCCTTACTCCAATAAATGCAAATGCAAATCTAATATCAGAACCATCTGTGAGAAAAATACTGAATGGTCGCTGTTGTCCCATGATGAAAAAAGTAATGAACTGCAGACCTTATGAAATTATGAAGAGAGATCAAATAGGTCAGGCTACCTGAATGCTTAGTGGGCTGTTGGATCTTGGTCAAATGTATCCCCCTTGATTCTGATAGAAAAAATAAAGTTTAAATAATATCCACTTCAAGAAAATAACTTTAAATCCTTTGCTGAAAGTCATATATGAATGTGAACTCTTCTTATTTTAAATGTATGTCCCAATCTTTGTAATCGTTGTGCTGAATTGCAGAGCAGCAGTAGGAAGAGTAGGGGAAATGGCCTAGAAAAAAACTTTATTAGAAGAGTGATTTTCCTTGAGGAACTGAGTCTATAATTATTCAGGGGGAAGGAGGCTTAATACTCCTGTGTAAATGGACATTTGATCTGTAAATCTGGTGAAAAATCAATCAAAAGCATTTAACAATACAAACATAGAAGAAGAAGGTATTAGCTTCTGCAGAACTGGTGGCTTATTTACCACTAAACAGAGCAGATCTGACAGAGTGATCATTAAGCTGGTAAATATGGAGACAAATAATGTATTTTTAGTTACTTTTCAGAGTTCTTGCCTTTAATAGGAACCTGTTTCCCTATTAGCTTTTCATGTCAGTGGCTGAGGCACACAATCAATAATACAGACTTGCATGCAATCCCTAGCAGAGATGAAAACAAGCAGCAGTAGGTCAAATACTGAAGTTTACCAGCAGGTAACCAGCAGGGTCTTTACATAACTTGGCATTGCACCTTACTTTACACATCAGTAAAAAATAAATTATCTTTCAAAAACATAAAAAGAACAATTTTTCTTAGAGCACAAGGACTTATATTTATAACCCTCCATCAAAGCATGTCTTGCTTTAAATCAGTCACGTGAGAATGCACTATTTATAATCACATTATTTAGAGGGAAGAGAGAGCATTTTCAGTGGATATACTGCATAGTTTAAAAAAACCTCACGTTGATATACAATCAGAGACAAAAAGCATAGTCCTTTGAAAAATATGAGAAGTACTGATTCTATTTGGAAACTGACAGTGAAATCGGTAACTTTGAGCAACCTTAGCGGTTCTCTCACCCTGAAAATACACTCTGGTGTATACTATACTATCTCACTAGCTGCTGTAAATAATATCCATGTGCTTAAACCCTGTGTCAATCAGAGAGCCTCAAATGGGCAATAAACACTACATTCTTCTCTTGAAACACTTATCACCCAGGAGAGTATTGAGGGCACTCATATAATTTTATTCAAGAAAGTTAGTTAATATGATTTCTTAGGTACCTTGAATTGATTCATATAAGGTGAAAAACATATAAGGAAACTGGGCTATATATTTGATTCAATACATGCAGAAAAGTTGTAAGTTTTAGGAAATGAAATTTTAAATTAAATTTTAGGAAATAAAAATAAAAGGTTTACATCAAAATGTAGTGATTACATTTCACATCTTCTCAGTCTCATCTGGCCTAAAGGTGGAGAACTGTTGTAGGTATTTGAGGGTAGTGTGGCTTGGTATTAAGTTACACGTGCATTACTCTGTTCATTGTATGACCATATCTTTGAATTGCCCACCACAACAGAGGTTCTTTTAAGCAACAGTAGGTGTTTGGGTGCAATGTTGCATAAGCAGTAAAAAAAGTATCACCAAAGAACCAAATACAGTGCTTTGGCACTTTGTTGATTATGAGTGGCATGCAAGCACTGATTTAGATAATAATGAATGCACATTATCCCAGACACAGTCACCTTGGAGTCTGATTACTGTGAGCAGAAGCTGTCTGGGAAATGAAAGGATTATAATGTCTTTTAATCAGTATGATTATAAAGGGAATAACTGGTCATTCCCAATGCTTTGGAAATGCATTCTCAATGAACTGCTCATTTTGTTACATGGTCAGTGAAATGACTATTTATTTTCCAGTCACCTTATGATAAAAAATCCTTGTGTGTAAAAAGACATTTAATCAGCTTTAAATGACAGCTCCACTCACACATCCTAGTATCTTGCTCTTTTGGGCAACAACTCCACATTTCTTTGAGTGAAAAGACTTCCAAAGGTTTGCAGCCAGAGAGCTGTCTTGCTGGAAAACTTCTGTCATAGGAGGAGGCTGGTGTGTCACCAGATCACAGGTCTTTGCACATCCCTGCCCCCAGTTGGCAGACAAGCAAAGCCTTGTGAATAGAAATAAGATTATATGAATTAGAGGTTCCCATGTTCCTCTATACTTATGGCAGGGCTGCAAGCGGGAACAGCTGCTTTTTGAGGCCAGGGAGCTGCACCCAGCTGCTTGATGGCTGTCTCCTTTTCCCAGCTGAAAGGAACTTGGCAGAGGAGAGAATTTCTTCAATGCATACAGGGTAGTTGGTGGTAGGGAACTTGAAACAACAGGAATACAATGCTGATCACAGTGGCCAGTAAAAATGGGCTTGTTATCTTTACCCAGATGTGATGAGAGATCCATGACAGATGCTAAGAAATGCTTTCATTTCCATTCAGACATGGTTTCCTTGCATTTGAGACCATTTTAAATGAAAATTTCATTTTAGGAGGAATTTCTATCATATTATAGATTCATGTTAAACACATACAAAATGCACCATGTTCCATGGCTTTGGAAAGAAGGCATGTTTTGCTGGAAGATACTTAAAACAGTGGGACTATAAAACTATTAATAAAAAATCCATGAAAAGGATGAGAAAATTAACGTACCCAGTCTGTAGTGACCATTTTATCCCCTTCAGCTTTACTTTTTCATGTTGCACCTTAAGTGCAACATGCTCTTTATTTTGGGGTTGTTTGTTTTGTTTATTATTTTTTTTCACTTAATGGAAATACTTTTCTTGTAGGCCTGTCTGGAAGTTTTGCATGGTGTGTAACATTGTCTTAGAGGCAATAATTTCTCACTGAAAAAAATAGGCAAAGACTAACACAAAACATATTTTTTGCAAACATTCTCAAATATTACCAGTGATTTCCCTTTTTTTTCAAGAAAATGACAGTATAAGCATTCAGGAGTAAATAACAGAAGATTGCCTGGGCCAATAAGAAAAAATATAAATCACAATGCTTTGTTTGCTCTTATCCTGGTCTGGCTTTTTGCCATAACTGCAGAAAATTCAATGAGCACATCATACTAATCTTGCATTGCTAAGCCCAAGAACTTCAAATACATAAGAAACTTTGAAGAAGTCTAATTTAATTTATCTTAAATATTTTGCTGTTTGGTTTTTTTTTTAAGTTTACCTTTGAAAATGCAACAATTTTCAAAGAGATTGTTGCTAAGTACAAGGAGTTCATTACAAAATCCATGAGGTTCCACCAATCATGAATGTAGTCCTGCAGTCCACCATCCCACATCTGTTTAATTTCGCCCCAGATAAAACCTGTAAATAGAAGATAATTCATTAAGTATGAATATTAAATAAAAAGGCTATGATTATTCACTTATCTCACAATGGATTGGTTCTCCTTGCTTAAGTTACAAAGGGAAGGTAGGTAACTGCTCTGAATTACACATCTGTTGGGTGAAATTTTATTTTCCCATTAATGTTTCCAGAATTAATTTGTCAGGCAAAACAAACAAACAAACAAAATAATCTGCTTATACAAGGGGAATTTCTTTCGCTTTCTTCAATCTCTTTTCCCATCTTATCCTAATGAGCATAAAAAGGGGTCTTAAAACCAGTCACAACTGCCAGTTCTGAAATATAATTCAAATTGGAAAATATATGACTGCAGGAGTCTGTCCAATACATTAATTGATTTAAATTGGAATCCACACAATACGGAAGATATTTTTTAATATTGTTGTCAGTGCTGAATAGAAGTCTCCCTTTTCCATAGGTAAGAGCAATGTCTCCAGCAGAATATTTTTTTTGTTGATTCCTTCCCTTGGGATATGAAAGAATAGAAACTGTTTTCAGGTGTGCAGAGCACACATTGCACTGGACACCGAGTGATACAGAAATATTCAGTTCCAATGGGAATTTTTGCAAATTGACTGGCCAGTTTAACAGCTCCAGAGACAACTGTGTGGAGACTATTTAATGCTGTAATAGTAAAAACCTCTCTGAGGAAGATACCCCACATTATTGTATAATGCAATATGATAAAATAACGTGGAACATTTAAATGCATATTTCATATTATTATCTAGAGATTTTTTTACAACAATACCAATAGATCTTTTAATTTTACAGTTAATTATTTTCTTAAAGGCATTTCTTACTTTTGTGCTCATTAAAGGGACAAAATTCACAACAGAGACCAGTCTGTCTCATGTACAGATGTTAAGATACAGTAAATTCAACATGGTTTTTCTCCATTTGCTTATCACATGTTTGTTAGAAAATGTTGAGCAGATTTCATGCAGGGGCCTAAAAAGTCCTTCATCACTCTTAGTCTGGGCTTAATTAACCCTGAACCTTAATATTTTTTCTCAATTGTCTTCTTCACTGCATGGAAAATTTGTGTTTTCTCTCAAACATGATCCCTAAGAAGTAATTCCTGGTCTATTTTTGTTTCTTCCAGGCAGGTTTCTTTTGAGTTATTTGGAAGGCAGGAAGGGGATAGATGGGAGTAGTCAAATATCATCTTGTAGTGTTTTGCCTTCAGTCCTGTTTCCTGATTGCTTTCAAAAGGAAAGGTTCCCTTCCTTACTACCTTCTCCCTTCAGCCCTATGTTCCCATCTTGTTTCTGTGTGTCATCATCAGTAATCATGAGCCACAGGAGTATCTGAATCATCTGACTGGTTCAACTTTTATTTTCATAGGGTTAATTTTCAGGCATGCCACTATCACTATTTCAGCCTTCTGTAGGGCTGAAGGAACACATTCTGAGAAAGGACCCTGGTGGGAACACGTAGATCAGAAAGTGGAATATGCCTGCTGTAGTGTCTTCAGCAGCTGGTTGCAGCTCTACCTTTAGGTTATTAGATATAACTAATATAGAAAATACAGCACTGCTAAGTAACTAACATATATTTCCAAACCATAATTGTGATGAGTCACAGTGAGAAAAGAGTCAAATGTTATTGCATAGCAGGGGTCAACATCTACTAACAGTATCCACTGCTGCTAACTGCCCAAGTGCCATCAAAAAGGCAATGCCCAGGACTACTAGGCAGGCTCCTAAATGCCTGTCCCTTTCAGCCTGTGAAATTACTTAATCATTGACACACACTATATAAACATTATGATGAGCAGGTCTGGTTTCCCGTTACCTCTGCAGTCCCCTCTAATGTTCCACACACAGTCCATGTGCTTGCAAATATCCCCGCTTGCTCTTCCACTAACTTTTAGGCATAACATGTTAAGCATAATCAGGTCATAAAAATGGCTGTTTTGTGGACTACAATACACCCCTCATATTTCAGACACTGCTCTGAGTCACCACTGCCCCAGCTGCAGAATGGCACATAAAAAATCACCACTGTGCCACAGGAGACTGAGAAGACCTTGCTCCAGGCTCAGAGGAAACCTGGAGACAAAGACTCTGTAATATGGATAAGGCCTAAGCCTTAGTGTTAGAGAACAGTGCCCTGGTCTTTTTTATTTAATAAAACAGACATAGCCCCAGGATCTTGGCTCTTGGAAGACTGCTATGGCAGTCAGACCATCACCAGAAATCAGACCATCACATTGATAGAAAATCCCCACATAAAAAGGAATTATGAAAATCAATACATATTCATAAAATTAAAGTGTCTTTTGTAATAATTAATCACTATTTTGTAGTCCCTTTAAAATGTACTCTAAATCCAGAGCAGAAATAGGATAGGATGATGAATAAGATAAATGCTTAAGTGAGAAGCTGTAGGTTCATTAACGTCTTCTGCAGAGATATTCCATGATTCACTGCCAGCCAGACATGAACTGACACAAATACAACAAGGCTATTGCTCCACATCATATGCTTTGAGAGCACTGCCTAAAATACAATAGAATTATGTACAGATTGAAAAAAGAAATGCTGATTAATGCTACTGCATTTGATCTGTTTTGTGAGCAAAAAGCCAGGCTGTTCTTCCAAGCACTTCCTGGGCTTCAGAAAATGAAATGTAGTTGTAAAGTTGACACTAACAGAGAAATACTGACCTATTATAGAATAGTGGAAGAAAGTATAGGTCTATTGTAAATTTGATCATTTTGGCTTAGCAACACAACTAATTCAAACTACCAGTAATGCTGAAGTCATTTGGCAGCCTTAAGTCTGGACCATATTTTGGCATTGTGATGGTGGTGGTTCTACATTTTTTTCTTGGTTCAAAACAAGTTTTATGTTCCTCTGATGCAGGGCTTGTCCTTTTCAAGCAAATTATTATGGAAAACTGGAAATTTTACATTTTTATTGCCTGTTCTGGAAATGGGATACCTTAGTCTTTCTTGACAGTCAAAACATCTAGGTGCAAACCCCAGTTACTGAGACAATACGGGACTGTAAAGAACTTGAAGCTGACTGATGGATGCTATGCTTGTCAGAAACACAGAACCCATGAATGCAAAATAGAGCTTCCCAGATATTTATTGTTGAAAGCAAATCTTTGAAATTATAAAATCCTAACTTTGATAGCCAAAATCCTCAACTCCAGGGCAATCTCACCATGAAAGCTGAGATCCGAGTTTTTGGAGGTACCAGGTTTCTATGGGCAGGTATCCTGTGGGGTGCTCAATTAGTGTAATGAATGCTGGAAGAACTGGGATCTCTAGAGTTCTGTAAATCCTCCCAAGTGTGCCTGAAGTGTTACCCTAGAAATGTGTACTCTGAAATTCCAGACACTTTCTGCAAAGGGGAAGACCTCTCTAAGGCCTAGTAAGCTTACGTGATGGAGCTATTCTGAGCAACTAACCTCAGGGATTCCAAGTTGTGTTGTTTAGAATTAATTTATGGTCACAGAGCCAGAGATCTTGAAATCTTGTTGGAGTCTATAACTGGCTTTTTGCAATAAGGAAGGGTCAGGGAGAGAAGTTAGTCAGTTCTTATCTTCACAGCATCTGATAGAATATGCCAATTTCGTTCTGTTACATTATTTGGGAAAATCAGGGAAAGTCTAGGAAAATCTATGTATTTTATGTAAAAAGACATTCAGAGATTGGAACATCATTGTCTCTGTGACCTTGATTTTTTTCCCTTTTCTTTTTAGGAGACTGGACACAACCTGACTTTATTATCCAAGGAGACTTTTGAGCTATTTCTAAATACAACCTGACCTGAGATGATAGAAGAGGAGAAGACATGCAGTGACAAGACTGCCTAATGGGTGCACTATTACAGGTAGGAAAGAGATCTAGAGTCCAGGAATTGTCTTCTCATTAATATGCCTGAGCAGCAATGTTATCACATGGTGACACAGCTCATGTCAGAGCTACCTGCTCAGCAGCAAGGAAGACATCTCAACAAAGCAGAAGGGACATCACCAGCCTGTACACGGGTACTGGAGAAAAACTGCTAAGAGGAATCAGTCAAATATAAGGGGTAGATCTAAAAGCAAGAGCCTTTGGGCAGTCAAGCTGGGCACAAGTTCATTGGTGAAAGTTCTCTTCACATCTCTGGAAGGAAAAAAGCATCTCCAAAGCAATAGCTGTCACCTGCAGGTGGCTCAGTCTTCCCATTGACTGAAAAAGGAGCCATGGAAGATTAAGCTGAATGAAAACAGATGTCTAATTTCCCAGTGCCTTTGTTAGCTGAAATAATTTCAGCCAGAGCAGATTTTACTGTTCTAGCTGGATAATCTTTGCTATATTCTGGTTGTCTTTTTGCTCCAATTGTGTCCTTCCTATGCCTTCACACCAGTTAGAGTTCACACCTGCCTCTTGTACTCTCAGCTACCCATTCCCCATCAACATGCTTTTATATTTACTGCCACTTGAAAGGAAATTATCAACATTATCAGCTCTTCCACCTCATTAACCAAGGACTTAAATTGAAAAGTTGAAGGTGTGACTTGCAAGCATTTATTGCATTGTTTATAACTAGACACTGGAGCAAAGAGAAATAACAACATGGATATTTCGAAACCAGCTGAGATGATAGAAACAAATTTCATTAAACATCACATGGTTTTAATGGGATCAAAGAGTCATAAATTTAGGGCAAGAATCCCACAGATCACATGAGGCCCTAGGAATGACAGACACCAAATAGAGGGTTTCTATTTGTACACTGTGAAGTATTACACATGGAAGCTGATTAATGCAAATATTTGATCAAAGTTCAGTTTGCTGGATGCAAGAAAGGAACTAAAATAGATCAGATAAAATAAATTTGGAGAAAAAAAAATTGAATCTGTCTGCTAAATAAATTTTCTTCCTGCAGCAAACACTCCTGAACATGGATGAAAAATGTTCTTCTAAAATCAACCCCCTATATTATTAAAATAAATTT